TACTCTTAAAAATTGATTAAAAGGGTAGATCTCACAGCGAGTGTTCCTACCACAATAAAGTGAAATAACTTTTAAAAAAGTAAACAAGAAAAAAAATGCATTTACAATGACCGAGTGTTGTATTACTGCTACTACGTAAATCAGAGATTACATTTTAATGATTCTAAGATGTATTGTTATAAGAAGGCTGCTCCAGGGATGGAAGAAGTGATTGGGATAGTTTCCATGTCATTTCTAGGAATTTTGGAGGAGTTCTTCAGTCTGGATTAGAGATCTAAATTCCTGATGCTCTAGCTGTCAGAACCATCTCCTAAAGTCAGGTTCTTGCAAGAGGCAGGAGCCACTGCCTCCAGGATGGAAGGGGAACATCAAAAGGCCTGGACCCCAAGTGCATGACGTGCTCAGTGTCCTGGAGTTTGAAGTCTCCACTGCTGCAGTCATCTCTTTGGCATTTTATCCAATGAATGATCATTACGGTTATTATCCTTCTTCTTGGATATCATTGAACAGTATGCAAAATATTTAAACTTACTCTAAAGAAAAAAGGCTTCATCATCTAAAAATCACAGCCCTTGGAATCTTTGGATAGTATATTCATTGTTGCAACACAGACACATACTCAGATCTCTGTTTTTTGGCTGCTGTCAAGACTTTTCAAATCCTGTCTGTCTGTCCTTTTCAGGTTTGACACCTATAGATCCAAGAAAGAGAGTGAACGTCTGGTCCAGTATTTGAACTCGGTGCCCAATGGCAGGATACTTTCTGTTGCAGTGAATGATGAAGGCTCTCGAAACCTGGATGACATGGCCCGGAAGGCAATGACCAAATTGGGCAGCAAACACTTCCTGCACCTTGGATTTAGGTACTGCNTTTCTGTCCCATGGCTGTTTGGAGATTGTGATGTCCCTCTGTTCAGCTACCCAGATCAGGGACAAGGTCGGCAGGCCAGAGCCTTTTCTGGGCTCAGAGCAATTTTACTGACTGGGTAGAGATTCCTTGGGTTAGGGAGGGGTCTCCAGGTTCCAGGGTTCATTCTCTGATAGCCCAAGGGCTGCTTCTTCTGGAAGGGAAACTCAAGTTGGAAACTCAAACAGCCAAAGATGATAGTGATATCTTGGCATGGTAAGGCTCCTTTGTTAGCAAGGGCCAAGTGCATTCCATTTTATTGTTTTATAAACCAAAAGGCCAGTTTATTAATTTAGAATGAGAGATAGAACCAGGAGGGGACTACTTTGGGCCTCAGCAAAAGAAGGGAGTGGCTTAGGGCCCAAGATCTGATATCCAATGGCACTGAACTCGAGTCTGGACTGCACCTGCTGTGAAATGTGACTGCAGGCAAGTGGCTCATTCTTTCTTTGCATGGTTCCTGCATCTGTAAAATGGGTATATCAGGAGCTATTGTAAAGGACCATTGGAAGGATTAAATGTAATAATATGAGCGCAATATTTGTCATCATGTCTGGCACACAATAAGCATTCAATGAATGTTAGCAGCTATTCTCTCCTTATAAACAAGAGCCATGGGAAGGATGGGGGCTCACCAGGGCCGTTCGCACAGGTAAAGGAGATAGGTACGCAGGAGTTACATTTTTACCTCTCATTTTCATAGAGACACACTTTGAGCAATAAAGCATCTGAAGTCAATAATTGTTCATTCATTCAGGCAATGGTTACTGAACAGGTATTGGCTGGGGGCACTAGGCTGGACCAGGTGTGCTTGCACTCTCGTGGGAAGGCAGCATTAATGGGGATTGATGGTGGGGTATGAGAGAGCAAGAGAGTGGGCGGGTGGAGTTTGGTGCAGACTTACAGGTGAAGATGAGGCCAAGCAGGTTCCCTGCACAGAGACTAGCAGGTTCAGAGGCCCAGGGCTGAAAGCGTGCTCTGCTGAAGGAGCGGGGAAGTCCAGGTAGCAGTGGTACATGTGAGAGGACGAGGGGGCACAGCAGGGCCTCTGGCTCTGTACCAAGGAGCTTGGTTTTTACCCAAAGGGCAATGAGGACCCACTGAAGGATTTTAAGCAAGAGAGTGACATAGTCAAATCCCCAACCTCAGTGACACACCATTCAATAATGACTTACTTTCCAAGTGAGAGATCAAAACTGAAATAATAAGAGCTATTTAGCATCAGAATCCACTAATATAATAAGAGAGAGACTACTGTAGGGGAGGAAAAATGTCTTTCCTTCCCCTCTTCTAAGTTCTTAGCTGGAGTGCCTTTCACAAAAGACAAAACAAGGGAGAAGCATACAAATTTATTTAATATAATAAGTTTTACAGTACATGGGCACCTTTATAAGGAAATGAAGTTCCGAAGAAGCAACTAGACCTAAGTGTCTTTTTACTAGGTTTGATGTAGAGCGGAGAGTCGTAGGAAAATGTGGCAGGAAAAAGGTGTGAGCTGAGTAGTGAACGGGGGGAGACTTAGCAAGGCTCTTCTTCAATTCCTCTCTCTGTCCTTCTGTCTTTGGAGATAAGGATGCTCCTTTCCTTCAGGAACAGGGAGGGCACCTCTCACACGAGGATCCCAATGACCTGTTTCAGGGGAAGGTCAGAAAACACTTCCTGCTGTGTCTCAAATTCCTTGAGCTTAATGTATCCAACATGCCAAGGTGCCGTATTTGGGGGTAGCGTGTCCTGGACCCCATCACTGCATTAGGCCTTATGGGGAAGACAAAAACAGCCGAGAAATCCTTCCTGCCCTGTAGCAGTGCATGCTTAAGTGGAGACAAGTCGAGCCTACAATTTTTCAAAATCTTAAACCTTTCTCTTCTTCCCCTCCCATGAAGAGGAAGAGATATTTCTTTTTTCTCCAAGGCCCAAGGCAGGTTGCTGGGGTTGTCAGCCACATTAGCTTCTGGCATTTTCCTTGAGCTCAGCTCTAGGGCCGCGGGGCATGAGAGAAGTGACCTTTCTGTCTTGGAACATGTTTTCCTGTTTTCCTACGGGATGTAGCTGAGCTTGGCAGGGGTGGTACAGCAGGTCTGTTGGCTGGTTTGTAGACTCATGATTCGTACCCTGTCTACCGCCAGAATGAAGCAGAGGCCAGTGATAAGCACACAGCGGGCAGGCCGGGCGGTGAGGAAGGCTAGCTGGGTGCTCGCAGAGAGAGGAGAGAAGCCCAGCAAGTGGAGGGACCTCCCCACACAGCAGCGACGGCTGCTCGTCCACCCGCGGCTGTTGCGACTCTGCCCGCCGTGCAGGCTTGGATGTGTGACGAACCCTACCTTTTGTGGTTTTTTTCAGACACCCTTGGAGTTTTCTAACTGTGAAAGGAAATCCCTCTTCTTCGGTTGAAGACCACATAGAATATCACGGTAATAAGTTGTTGGTGACAGGCTGGGCGTCCTTCTGAACGACCCCCTTCTCTCAGAGCACGGCTTCCCATCTTCCAACACCCAGTTGGGTAACCAGCCCCTGAATTGGCCATGTTACAGGAAGATGGCAAAAGTCAATACCGACCGAAGGTCAATCCCTGGAGATACTATTTACGTTTTCAAAGTAGTCTCCAGTGACGACCAGCCCCTGAATTGGCCATGTTACAGGAAGATGGCAAAAGTCGATACCGACCGAAGGTCAATCCCTGGAGATACTATTTACGTTTTCAAAGTAGTCTCCAGTGACTTAATCTAAAACATAGACATGGCATAGAAAAGATAAGAACTGGGACAGAGCCCACAGGGGCAATATTCTGAGCTACAGAGACACTTCGCAGGGGCCTTTAGCACGCAGGGGCAGCCTCCTC